AAAAAAAAAAAAAAAAAAAAAGTTGCCAAAACTTGCTATCTATTAGGGAGAAAAAAAATGTTGGTTCCCTACCTCACACCATTTCCCTAAACAACTTCCATATTAATTAAAGACCTACCTGTGTTTCGTTTTTTTAATTATAAGAGTATTAAAAAAACTATAGGAAAATTTATTTGTCTTGGGGTAGGGAAGGCTTCCTAAAATATAAAATAAAAAGTCCTATGGAAGATTAATTAATTTGACCACTTCAGATTTCTTAAGTTGTGTATGCTAAAAGACAAAACTAGAGGACAAACGACAGTACTGGCAGGCATCACTTATCCACAAGTCACACAAATTAAGAGTATAGGAAGGCTGCGGGGCTCAGTGCTCACACCTGTAATCCCAGCACTTTGGGAGGCCAAGATGGGTGGATCACCTGAGGTCAGGAGTTCGAGACCACCCTGGCCAACATGGTGAAATCCTGTCTCTACTAAAAATGCAAAAATTATCCAGTTGTGGTGGTGCTAGCCTGTAGTCCCACCTGTTTCAGAGGCTGAGCAGGAGAACTGCTTGAACCTGGGTGGTGGAGGTTGCAGTGAGCACACCACTGCTCTCCAACCTGGGCAACAGAGTGACACTCCATCCACCTCAAAAAAAACTAAAAAAAAAAAAAACAACCTTAGCCAGGCATGGTGGCATGCACCTGTAATTCCAACACTTTGGGAGGCTGAGGTGGAGGATTGTCTGAGGTCAGGAGTCTGAAGCTGCAGTGAGCTATGACCATGCCACTGCATTCCAGCCTGGGTGACAGAATGAGACCCTGTCTCTAAAAAATATAAAAAGAGTCGGGCATGGTGGCTCATGCCTGTAATCCCAGCACTTTGGGAGGCCAAGACGGATGGATCACCTGAGGTCAGGAGTTCCAGACCAGCCTGGCCAATATGGTGAAACCCCATTTCTACTAAAAATACAAAAATTAGCTAGACATTGTGGTACGTGCCTGTAGTCCCAGCTACTCGGGAGGCTGAGGCAGGAGAATTCCTTGAACCCAGGAGGCTGAGGTTGCAGTGAGCCAAGACTGTGCCATTGCAATCCAGCCTGGGCGACAGAGCGAGATCCATCTCAAAAAAAAAAAAAAGTAGTATGTAAATACATAAATGTGTGTGGATGCATGGAATTTTTTTTTTTTTTTTGAGAAGGAGTTTTACTCTTGTTTCCCAGGCTTGCGTGTAATGGCATGATCTCGGCTCACTGCAACCTTTGCCTCCCAGGTTCAAGCAATGTTCTTGGCTCAGCCTCCTGAGTAGCTGGGATTACAGGTGTGCACTACCACACCTGGCTAATTTTGTATTTTTAGTAGAAACAGGTTTCACCATGTTGGTCAGGCAGGTTGAAAATTTTTATTTATTTATTTATTTGAGACGAAGTTTTGCTCTGTTGCCAGGCTGGAATGCAGTGGCTTGATCTCGGCTCACTGCAACCTCCACCTCCCAGGTTCAAATGATTCCCCTGCTTCAGCCTCCCAGGTAGCTGGGACTATAGGTGCGTATTACCTTGCCCAGCTAATTTTAGTATTTTAGTAGAGGCAGGGTTTCTCCACGTTGGCCAGGATGGTTGGGATCTCCTGACCTCAGGTGATCTGTCTGTCTTGGCCTCCCAAAGTGCTGGGATTACAGGCATGAGCCACCATGCCCGACCTAAAAATCCTATATTTTTTAATTAAAAAAAAATTGTTTAGAGATGGGGTCTTATGTTGCCCAGGCTGGAGTGCAGTAGCGCAATCTCTGCTCACTGCACCCTCAGCCTCCCCAGCTCAGGCGATCCTTCCACCTCAGCCTCCCAAGTAGCTGGGTCCACAGGTGTGTGCCACCACACCTGGCTGATTGTGTGTGTGTAGTTTTAGTAGAGATGGGGTTTCACCATGTTGCTCAGGCTGGTCTCAGACTCCTGAGCTCAAGTCATCCACCCACCTTGTCTTCCCAAAGTGCTGGCCCAAGATCCTGTTTCTTAAGCTCTGCACTGTGCCAGGCTCAGGGTTTTGTACATGTGATTTTATGAAATCTCTCAGTGGCCCATTTTACAGAGAAGGAAATGGAGTCTTGGCACACTGTGGCTTGTTAAAGGTCATGCAAATTAATACGGTAGTGAAGCCTCTGCCTCTGAAGCTCCTGGTCTTCACTCCTCACCTATAATGGCCACTAAAGGGAATGAGGAAAGAAGGCAAGAATGGAGGGAGGGAGGAAAATAAGGACATTGGGATGGGATTGGGCACCAAAATAAAATCTGAGTAGTTGGAAAAGCAGTGTCAGCAATGTAAAGGAGAGTGGATGGGGTGGCTACTCACCAGATGGAGCGCTGTCTGTGTGACACAGAGGCCCTGTAGAAGGTTGAGGGGCTAGTTCCTTCCTTCCTTCCTTTTTTTTTTTTTTTTTT